TAAATCGGATTTCTCCTCAGTAAAAAGGGAGTGTTACACTCCTTCTGCACAATTCTTTCTCGTTCTCTTTCTGCTTGAGCTTTTCCAGCGTCATGAACAGCCGGGCGCCATCACAGAATGAATTAGGCCAGGAGACAAGAAAGTTTCCACTCTGTTTGAAAGCTGACACGGTAAGACGCACAATCCTAACCAAAGAAATTGACAATTTCAGTTTCTAATTTTCTTCACTTCTGCTTTTCCAAATGAGAAGAATAATACCTTATGCATTTACGGAAAAAACAGACTATTGGCAGATTTGTCTAGCTACAAGAAAGATGTGCAGTCCCAAATTAAATGACACTTCTTGGGTAACTTTACAATCTTTATGTGATATTACACATTAACTTAAATGTGATCTGTGAGTAAAAAATAAAGTTCTGGAACAAAATGTGTCTAGGATTATTATTTTTTTGATTCACACAAGATTTCTTTTCCTGGAAAAAAAAAAAAAACTGTCCAGTTGTACTTTTTTGCTACGTTTCAATATCCATTTTTATGTCTGATAGAAGCTAAAAACCTTTTTATTTTCTTTTTTTTTTATTAAACTCTCAAAGGAAAGCGATCATTTCTTTTAAATGGCTTGTTTTGTCTATTCTGATTCCTGCAACAGTTAAATGGACTCTCACATGAGTAGATTTTGAGCGTCACTACTGCATGTTCAAAACACAAAAGTTATTTTAAAATAAATGAAAAATAAAAATTAAGTACAATTATGTGAATGCATGTGTCGAGGTTAGTCATGTCAGGTTACTGTCTTATGTTTAATGTCAGGTTTTCTAGACCCTGACACCAGATAAGAGAAAAACATTCTTTTAGTGTAAACATTTTTGCATCATTGTATATTTTAAAATAAAGTTTGTTAAACTCTGGTTCAGATTCTCAGTCACCCATGGGCATGATGGTTTCTGCTCTTTCTCCCTCTTCCTCCCTCTCTTTCTAGAGGAGGGTCGCCATTTCTTGGCTTGCTGCTTGCTTGAGCAGAAAAAAGGCAGCAGGACCAATAAATGCCAGTCATCCATTGTTTTCTTCTGCAAACAGTTCTTCTGGAACGACTGCATGTCAACACCAGCCAAACCACAACAGGGCAACGTTCCAGAATGCAACACACAAACTGCTCAGTGAAACAGAAAGACACAGCTGATCTTGGATTGTATGCACGGGATTCATGCGCAATGAATGCACATTTATGTGTTATTACCTTCTTTGTAACACGGAAATGTTTTAAGAGGGGCAAAGGAAAACATATTTAAAGTAACAACAAAGTTAAATTGACTGTGTGGCGTCAAAAAAAAGTTGTAAATGAACTTAATTTAAATAAGTGCCTTTCCTTTCATAATGAACATTCAAAGCACTTTACACCACGGACACATTCACCCATTCACACTCACATACACACACATTTATACACAGATACAGGAAGTTAAATGCCTTGCGTGACAGGAAGAAATTGGAATTGAACCTACAACCTTCCACAAAAACAGAAAATATTTGGAAGAATGTTCTTCGGACAGACGTGACCAAAGCTTCCCTTTTTGCCCTTGTTCAGGCTAGGCTGAAAATTAAAGCGCTAACACTGCACAGGAACATAAAGTCAGTCCTCCAGTGAAAAATGGCAGTGGCAGCATCATGCTTTGGGGTGTTCTGTCATGATGAGGGATATGAAAACTGGTCAGAGTTGACAGGAATATGAACAGGGCTAAATATTTGGTAATTCTGTAAGAAGATGTGTTAGAAGTTGGAGGTTGACCTTCCAGCAGGATGAGACTAAACATGCAACCAGAACTACAATGGAGTGGCTTAGAAATCATATCCAAATGCTGGAATGGCTCAGTCAAAGCCTGCACCTAAATAGAGTGTCTATGGCAACACTTTGTGAACAACTTCCATCCATTCTGGTGGCACTTGAGATGTTTTCCAGAAGAAGAATGAGACAAGTGGAGGAGACTGTGGAGAAGGAAGCAGTCCACCATTTAGAGGTTGAGAACCAAGGCCTTGAACTTAGGAAAGCTGAAAACTTACAATTAAAAAAACAGTAAAACTCTGGCATTTTATGCTTGCTTTGAGTGTTTCTTGTGACAGAACTCCTAATTGGTTCTCTGCTACATTTATTTTGCAAAACATTACTGATAAGTGACATCCTTGACTTCAACACACTTTCATACCCCAGTGAAACCCCCAGGCTCCCTGGGAAGAAAAGATAATTACTGCAGATTTGCATTTTTTTGTGGACACTTGAGTGGCACAGATAAAAGCTGTGAGCTATTATCACATCAACATTATACGGATTATGCTGTTAATTACGCTTCATGCGATCTTTGTGTGCACATCACACGGAGATTAAAATGGAAATCAAGATATTTGAGCACAAAAGCCGTTTCTTCAGCCTCTGTCGATGTGGATGCGTATGACACCATCATGCTGTTTGAGTTACCGTGGAAAATTCAGACTTTTGGCACTCACAGTTAGCATGGGATTTTTTTTTTTTCATTGCAGTTTTTCAAAAGCTGCTGCAAATGGTGGTTCTCAGTACAAGTCCGAGAGACTGCAGAAAAGTAAATGGGTTGTGGCCCGAGCACAATGGCCTCAGTAAAAACTGAACCCAGAGTGGGTCTCTAAAATGTAGCAAGTTAGGTTTTGACCAACTTCATCCAAAGACACCAAAAAAAGAAAAAGAACATGTGCTTTGATGTTGATACATCACCACAGGTAAAAAACAAAAAAAAAAAAAAACAAACTGGTTTGCAGAGAGGTAGAAAAATTCCTACTTTAATTCAGGGCCAACACCTGATGATGAGGAGATAACAGGATACCTCAGGACTCAATCACTGGACAATCCAGTTCCAAACCCATGGGAGGAAAATTCACACAAACACTTTCCTGCAAGTCCAGTGAACCACCATAGAGAGCATTTAGTATGTGTACACACATTTCAGAAAAAAAAAAAAAAAACACCCTTTCAGTAGCCTGACACCAGAGTCTCACAGTGATATTCTCTTTCTGCACAGAAATCTTAAGTCGGCTAAATGTCCCAGTGTCGGTTAAACGTCATGTTTTAATTCATTTGCATGTTCTGAGCCACTGGTTTGAATAATGTTAAATAACTTCAAATTCAGCATAATTGTTGTCAAATGTTTTTCAGGGGTTTCATATCTAATACTGTCTCATAGATATTTTTTTTTTATTTTTTTCATTGAGCAGATATGTTGATTTTAGTCTCAGGATTTGTGATTTAATGTGGAGAGATTTTTGTTGAACGCACTTTATTTATTCTGCTCTCGTTCAACTGCAATAAAACATTCAGTGAATATGCATTTATCGAACAGCACAGTGCATCAATTAAAGTGATGGGTGAGGGCGGTAATGGTCAGAAATCCCACACAGGGCTGTAATGTGGCTCTTTGTAGCCCCGCCAGTCGTGCGTCTTGGTTAAGCTGTCAGTTAAGGTGTGCATTTCATGTCTTCGTAGGCTTGCACTTGTAACCTGCTTTTTCAGCTTCTGGATGAAAGACTGATTAATACTTTGTTACACCTTCTAAGCCAGGGATAATGTCTTACAACCAAAAACCTGCTGTAAACTTTATCAGAGCTTTATCCATAACTTGTCTTCTATTGTTGAACACATTTTATTTATTCCACTCTGTCCAACTCCTTGGTTTTATTGATGTTTGTTCATTTGCTCAGAGCGGCCGTGTGCATCCTTTAGATTATATTGCAAACTGGTTGGGGTGTCTTTACAAATATTCGGATCTTTGTGGGTTTTGGTGGGACATCGTCTCGTTGCATCAGAGTGAAACACAACACAAATGCATGGTTCTGACAGTTGAAACCTGAACTGTCCATACACTGAAAAGACATTGCAAACCTAAAGTTTTAGCATGGCCATTACAAAGCCCTTATTTTAGTCTTGAAGAGAATTTGTTGGTAGATCTGAAAAGGCATGTGAGAGAGTGAGGTGGCCTGCATGCCTGACTCAGTTACACCAGTTCTGTTGGGAAGAATTGGCCACAATTCCAGCAAACTATTGTGAAAAGATTGTGAACGTATACCCATAATGTTTTACCCAAGTCATACAGTTCAAAGGCAACACAATCAAATAGCAAAATAGGAAATATATGTTTACGTCTAATTTTAAAGACATTCTTTACTTAAATCTCTGACATATTCTCACATTGTTGTTGTGGCTCTTAGCAAACAGACATGACTTTTGACATTTGCTCTGACTAACTTCAGATAGTGAGGAAAAAAAAAAACTGCCTGAAGTTTTTGTATGCTTTTTATTCAAATGTATATATATGGAGAAAAGTAACCCAAAACAAAACCATATGTAGTTTTTCTACCACTTAGCAATCAGGTTTCTGTTGGTGTATCACAAATAACCCAGTAACACAACATTTGTGTGGGTGTAAAGTGACAGGATGTCAAAAAATTCAAAGGGTATGAACACTTTAGGTTGTTCTAAGTGTAGCATAATGAGCCGAATTGAGGACACGCCGTGCTTTTAGGAAACCAAAACCACAGCAGACGAGTTTTCATTCAGCACAGTTTGAACTGGGAAAGTGGCTCCAGTTTACTCTCATTTTATATTGCAAGTGAATGCAAAAAGATTGCAATGCGCACAAAGCACCAAACATTTATTGCAGTTGTACATAGGTTGAAGACATACTGTAATTACACAGGTTTTTAGAAAGTGGCTCTGAAGTATTTGTTGCCAGAGCTTTTAAGCCAAGAAAGTGGCGATGCAAACAGATCTTGATCGAGGTCAAATCTGAGTCAGAGAGAGAGGTAAAGAAAAAAAAAAGAAAAAGAGTGGGTAAAATGAGCCCAAACACAAAGAATCACTTATCTTTCTTTGTCTATCGGGACAAAGGATGGAGATATTAGTCTTGTGGCACAGAATCACAAAAAGCGAACATTACTTGTTTCTGTAGTCAAACAGCCAACAACACAAATGTTCAGTCCAATGTTTTTCAGAGCCCAATTTTAATGTATTTCTTAAATGAACAATTTAAGGCACATGAAAACATTTTGTTCATTGTTACAAAGGAAATATCCACAAGACGTCTTTGGGATTGAATGAAAACAACTAGACATACCTTTCCCACACACACACACACAAAAAAAAAAATAGTTTTATTAGTTATAAACCACAGAAAATATAAACTTGACTGTCTAACGTTCAGATTTTTTAAGGAAACTGAGGTATAACAGCTGGAAGAATAAGCCCTTTTTTAGAATATTTATATTATAACCTCATTTTATTATGGCTTAATTTCCTACTGGGAAATTTATTTATTTATTTTTTGGTTAGATGTTATGTTCCAGTTAATTTCTAAGCTCACGAAAGAGGACAAGAATCATGTTATTTACAAGAGGACTGATTCATACTTACAAATTGAAGCTTTAGTCAAATGTATGTCGTAGATGTTTTCAGACAGATTCTAAGAAACTTTAAATATCCTAACAAAATTTATTCTAACAAAGTTGACCAAATATTTCTTTAAAACCAAAGAAGCACATGCAAGTTGTTAAGAGTGGATTCAGAGAGGAACAGTAATGTACAAAATTCAAATATTATTAATTACAGTTTTATCAAATGCACTGTTTGTAGCACCTTTAGTGTTTTGCGATTCTGCACAAAAGCACCTCTGTGGTATAATTCAGAGCATCACTTGGAGCATGCAGAGAGGACCGGGGGATGGGAGGGCGAAGTTTGGGGCGAGTGGATCCTCTCTTTAATGCTGAAAGTATGCCACTGTCCACCACGGCATCAAAAGTCCTTTTCCTGATGTCACTCTCATTACAAGTTAAAGTCACGTGATTCTGGCCCTACGAGGGCAAGGAGGAGTTTCCCCTGATCAGCGCTTTTAAGGCAGGGTCAAAGCGTGCTTTTCTTCTTCTCCCAGCTAGTCGGACCTTCTTTACAATAACGGAAAATGGGATTTTACTTCGTAGGAGACGGTAGGTGGTGGCTGAGAGGGAGGCTCTCTTCATGTGGGTGTTACTGTTGACTCTCTGACCCTGTCCTTCAGCGGGGCGGGGGGGGGGAAGACGGGCGTGTCTAGCCGAGGAAACACACGGAGCCGACCTCGAAGCCGAACCTCTGGTTGGATTCCCCAAAGTCATTCAGCATTACATCAATGATGGGTAACTGGTCGATGCGAGGTGTGTTAATTTCCAGCACTGTCCTTGAATAACCCTGCTTCATCTGCACACAGAGTGAGAAGAAAGAGATTCGTCACATGATCCAGAGCAGTTTCAAGTATCTTTCAAAGTATTCATTCAGTTCCAGCTGGAGTTTTTGACACAAGCGGTAACTTCTTAAGAATTAATCCACTATAACTTCTTGTTTCTTCTTTTTGAGTTATGTTATTTATGTAGAGATGATGTAGCTCAGGTACTATTGCTAAAGCCTCAGTTTGTGCTTTTCAAAGCTTGTTAAAAGTGATGACAGATGTCAATCACTATAGAATACTGTTTCTTAATCACAAAAAAACATGCAGTGTAATGAGCATGTATGCATTTTTGACAATCTAAAACAGCACTTTTTGGAATTTTTATTCATTTGTTTCCTTTTCAATTGGATAACGCGAGCAGTGCAGTGGTGTGAGAAGCCAATTTTGGCTTTTTATTATTCCTTCTAAGCTTGGATATCCCTCATATTGGGGGACTGTTTCTCCCACATCAAATATGAACACTTCCTGACACTTTTTTTCCCCGCAACTCTCTACACGTTTGTGAGGATTAGGGGGATTTTGTGGAATTTAGAAGAAAAAAAAGTTTAATTGCAAAGTGAAACTTTGAAAGCGAGCAAAAACGTCTGTTTACCGAGCAGCCATCCATCAGCGACTTGATGAAGGGATTATTGTCATAAGACATTTCCTCGTCGTTGGAGCCCAGGAAGCGCAGCGCTCTGTCGTAGTTGTCGGCCTTGGAGTCGTACCAGGCCACCGACTGATGGCAAATGTAGGTGAAGTTCTGCCGCGCCGAGGAGCTCAGCAGCTTCAGGAAGGTCATCTGAACAGCGTTGATGCTGTTGTCACCACCGTCCACGTAGCTCAGCTGAGAATAGTTGGAGGAGGACAGAATTAGGGAAATACCAGAAGGAATGAAGGAAATGAAGAAATTCATGAAGAAAACATCAAAAAACATATTCAGACGTATATCAGTGTCTTCTGGACTCACAATTTTGCCACGCTTGAATTCACTAAACCATGAACCTGGTGATTCCTTAGGCCAGTTGGATATTCTAACCTATAAGAAATGCCCACAAAAAAAAGTCAAGTTAATAAACACAATATATATTTCAATTTCTAAAAGCAGCTTTTACACAGTTTCAAATGTTACTAAACGACCCTGGAGCATGCATGCCTTAAACGGCTGCTGTTCTAACACCGTATACTCACTCCTGTTGATTTCTTGTCTGGGTAAATGCATGTTTCTCCACCTGCTGTGAAGTTACAGAACACTTTGATGGCGTCTCCGATGCAGCCCTGGTTCGGATCAATCCAGTATTCACCTGAGAGAGAAACAGATCCATAAAATAAGCCAACTGTCTACACGAGCTTTTATCTTCTTTAATGTTTTTCTCATCTTGTTCCACTCTTCATGTTTCTTTTTTTTTTTAACTGAACTAAGCTATTTAAAAGTTTACTAATTGCTGCTATTGATACGTTGTGCTAAACAGCAACATTAAGGATCGTATTCATTGTACCGTCGGGGAAATCGGGCTGGCTGAGGTGCAGGTCATTGCAGGTCCTGGCGGGATTGTCCTGGGTGCCCATGGGGAACTTCATGCGCTCGATGTCCTGTTTGAGGTTGTTGAGGGATCCGAAGACGTCGTCCATTCCCTCCATGCCGTAATCCGTCAAAGCCTCATCTCCTTGCGTTTCAGCCTGCCGCCTGCTCTTTTTGCCAGGCTGCTGAATGGGCAGCGGCTGGATCATGTCACCAGGTGGACCCTGCAGCACAGGAGGTAAAGATTAGCTTGTAATGATAACATAGTAATAATATTATCACTAAATCTACTTTCAAACCTTGAGTCTAAACGACTCCATTAAATCTTTTTTGCCGTTTCTATGTCGTCAGACAAATCAGAACTGTTTTGCTGCTTTAACAAAGATTTTATTTCAGTTTCACGTATAATTAAGTCTCTTATTGTAAACCTGCATGTTCCCAACAGCCATTCCTGTTCCCAGTGATCAAATCTTTTCAGCTTTTCTGTCAGTTAGGCTAAAGACCAAGTCCTTGTGTGATTTTAAATATGGCTTTCTTGTCACCAGTCATCTGAAACTAAACTGATTTTCTGTTGCATAAATGCCAAACAAGGTGCCCCTCAAGGCTCTGTGTTTGTCCCAACACTGTTTACGCTTCACATCAGTAAAGTAGGTCAGGATGTTCCTGATCTCACTACGGTGATGTTAAAATTGCTGATTGTTATGAAAGCACAGCTCACCTGGAGTTTGACTGTCTGCAGGTTGCATTCGATGTTATTCAGTCTTGTATATTCCACATAAAACCGTGCCAGTAAAAAACTCTTTTAAGTCCTATATTGAAAGTAATTTTCCCTGTATTTTCTCTGCTTTTCTGCAGGAGTGCCCTGCATTAAGCTCCATCGATTCCACCTAAAAATATAGAATTACCTCCTTCATCAAAGAAATTAATTCTTGTCTAACCAACTCTTTAAAACTCAAAACAGTCTAGATTACAAGGGACAAGCTGAATCTATAACTTACAGGTGGTCCAGGTGGCCCTATGAGTCCAGGATCTCCCTTCTGACCAGTTGTACCCTGATAAAGAAAAACACATCATGGGGATGTTAGAAACGCTTAAATGCTTTATTCCAACCTCTATCCTTATCTGAAAAATCCAAAACATTCATTGGTGAAGGGAAAGTGACTTACGACTGATCCCTTAGATCCTTTCTGTCCTTGCGCACCCTGGGGACAAACAAGTCAATGGCAATGTAAGAACGAAGGTCAGAAATGAGGCAAGACAAACTTTTAACGAGAACTGCAGCTTACAGGAAGTCCTGGTGGACCAGGAGGCCCGAGTGGGCCGTGTGCTCCACCGATACCCTGGCGACACACAGGATGGAATGAAATCAGTTGGCAACATAATTTTACCAATAAACCAAAATGTTCAGATAAATAACTATTTCTGTAAAATGACAGGAAACGTACAGGTTCTCCCTTGCCACCTCCAGCACCCTGGGGTCCGGGTAGACCTCTGTCTCCCTTCTCTCCCGGTTCACCCGGGGGTCCAATCAGACCAATCAGACCAGGATGACCCTGGAGCAAAAAAAAAAAAAAAGCATTATTTCATTAAAAGACAGAAATAAATAACATTATTAAAGGAACAAAGTTTACTATTAAAGCACTTATTGCTTTGGGGGGCAGAAAGAAACAAATATGCAAATTGACTGGGAAATTTATATGAAGTGTCTGGCCAGGCAAACTTTTGGCCAGAGTCTTGATTCTGTCTATAAATAATTAGCATGTTTATTGAGGTGTGTCTTTCCACCTGCCACTTTGGATGAGTTATGATCATCTGCTTTTGAATGCTGCATGTGGGCGCTAAGCCAATGAGTATTACAAAGACAATATTTTTGGTCTTATACATATTCATCCAGCGCATTAAATCAGCGAGTGAGAAACCTCCTCAGAGCAGAGCGGCTTTTCATCTCACTGGGAGGAGGGGGAACACAGCCAAGGTGCACGCAGGCCTAGATGTGTGCACGCTTTGGAAGCTTCAGATAAGGTGCGAAACCGGATACGAGACATTGACTATAAAGCAATATGAGATTAGCATTATAATATTGTCTTGCCTTTTCTCCTTTGGATCCAGAGTCACCTTTCATGCCAGGAAGTCCAGGCGGTCCCTGAGGAGAGGAAACCAGTGCAAATGACACAAATCATGTTAAATGTGCCTTTTTTTACATGTTGCACAGAGCAACTGAAGTTATAAATTGTGTAAATATCAAAAATACATTTTAAAACAGCATATTTTAAAGAGGAATTGGTCTCCGGTGTAACAATATTAGAAATTTAACAGCTGCTTGTGCAGTGTGCATTAGCAGTGTATCGGATTTTAAAACATTTCCAAAGCTTAGTGATAGAAAGAAATGCCTTACGATAGGACCGGGAGGGCCATCTTGACCAGATGCACCAGGCAGTCCTTGCTCACCCTGGAAGAAGAAGACGACATAATGTTTTCAGCTGGGGTCAGGTTTGGAATGCCACCCAGATCCAGAATGAATTGTAAATAAATTTACACCCATTCCCTCCAAGGTTTATACTTCAGGAACTTGGGTAAGAAAAATAATTACAGACATCAACAGTGATTTCTTTTGCTTGCAGCCCTTTGACCTCACCTAGAAAACTTCCGACCTAAAATATGTCACTACTACGCGGTTGTTCCTTTGGGTGATAAAATCAAATATTTTGCGTCTTCCAGACTCACAACGGGGCCAGGGATTCCACGCAGACCCTCAGCACCAGGTTTTCCAGGGGGGCCCTGAGATCCCACAGGTCCTGTTTTCCCAACAGGTCCCTCTGCTCCGGCTTCTCCCTGAAATACACGGAAAACCATCATGTGCTTCCATCTCAGGCATATAAATCAGAAATAATAAAAGAAAAAAAACCATTAAATGTGGATTCTATTCAGTGACTACATCACCTTTACCCAAACTTCACAAAAGGTTAAATATCACTTTAACAAAACATATTCTATGGTACTCTGCAACGTTCCCTGCTCCAAAGGAGAACAGAACAAAGACTGGAGTATTTGTAAGATCTTAAAAGATGAAATGTTTTCAGGAGAAACATCAGGTTTTCATGTATTGAAGCTCCAGAGGTGCATAATATTGACCTGGATGATTGAATGGGGGGAGATTACGCTTCTCTCACAACCAATTAGGCCCAGATTTGACAGTCTCAAATCATCTCCCAGGCTTTGCCTTGTTCCTGTCAAATCGTCTCTAATCCTTTACCCGAAACGTGGAGCGGGTGTCTGTGAAGGGGGGTATGTGAAGAAGCGAAATAAGAGGAGGAATGAAACAAAGAGCGAAACTACGCCTGCGGTTTGTCAGGTTGTCTGACTTAGAAGTCAAACATTGTCTTTATGGCTTAAACAGACATTTTCGCCTTGATGCTGGTGCAAACAAGAATGCAACGGTGAAACAGTTGGAACGTCAAGAGACGCAGCTGCTTCTTATGTATCCAATTTGCAGGTTTTTATGAATATATAGGACTCCTCAGCAGGATATCGGGTGGAAAGAGTTGGAGATGTGCAACTTTTCTGCTGTTTTGTAAGACAGAGAGAGAGTTTTTGGGAGATTTCGAAATTAATAAATCATATCATATTACTCAAAGCAAAACGCAAGTCTCCAAACCTACATAGTACCACTGCTGGTGTTTGAACCAATATAAAGAGCCAAACTTCTCATAACCTTTTAAAGTTTGATACAAAGAACAATTGTGAGAAATTTCAGCATTTGAAATCTTTACCTTGTAGCAAAATGAAAATTGAAACTGGCTTTCCCTTTTTTTGTATCATAATTGACACCCACATATGTGTGTATGTATACATGTGTCAATTATGTGCACCAGATATATATGATGGAGCACAAAATATATTTAGTTGTATGACGTAGGCTGTAGTAGTGGGTTTACAATAATAGTGTAAAGCTACTCCTACAGCAGAAGTAGCAGTCTAAGGAGTATTTGTCATAAAAATTATATGTTGAGAGTTATATGGTTAAAACAACTCAGATAACATAAGAGCTTAAGATCCAAGAGATCATTTTCAGTAATATCTTAATAGTGTGAAATATCCAAACAAAAACAAAAAACAACAACCTCAATCACTAGAAAAAGTAAATAAAATCCAAATGACTAGGACTTACCTTAGATCCCTTTTCTCCTTGCCTTCCCCCCTGGCCTTGAGATCCGAGAGGTCCCTAAGAAACACAACAACCAATCACCATTAGACTCTTTTCGTCTCAGTCCCCAAGTCTAATGTTGGCTTATTTAAAAGAACCAGAGCACAGGTGAAGTTCATCTGGAGTGGAATTATCCAAAATAAACTAAAACGCAGTAGCTTCTAATGCACATTAATCATTTAGCTAAAGCATATTCTGACCTTGAGAGAGGGAGAGGTTTGCAAGGTCGGCCAGCATGAGTGCAAGCAAACTGTCCTACATTCTAAATACAAGCTGATAAAAATGCATTAGCATTTCCACACAACAGCCTCTGGTCAAAACCTTGTAAGTGGGCTGACATGTGGCATTAGAAGCTATAATCGAATAGACCAAACAAAAGCCACACAGGTCATCAATGTAGGTCATGAACCCTGGCAAATATGTGTATGCAGGCACTAGTGTGTGTGTGTGTGTGCTAATGTAGTCAAGAAGCTACATGCATCAACGAACACCAAATCGGAGTAATTTTTAAGGAGATATTGGGAAGGAGACTTAGCCAGACTTACTCTGGTGAAGGATGAAAAATTATATCACGAAGTCCATTAATACGAACACGGAATGGGAGTCTAATTTGTCCCGGGCTAGCTGGAGGAATACAAATTATGGGGATAAAAAGTGCTTACCAACGTCTTTAAAATGTATGACCAACCCCACATGGCCTGCATTTTAAGTCAAGCCAAAGAGTTGCATTGTAAACTGATGCGCATGATGCAACCCGAACCTCTCAGCTTGGAAAATACAAACCACATAGAAATGTCTAATCACAGATGATCCTATGCTATTAGAAACACCCATTAATTATTTTCTGGCAAAAGCCTCCAAAAGCACCTCTGATCGCATCCCTCCGTTAAAGCGATATGCACATTGAGAATTTGGCTGGTGATTGAGAATCCAAACTTTTTACGATCTGTGAATACATTCTAACCAAGTTCAAAAAGGAAGCAATTTTCTATGCCAATTCATCAGGGATAAAATAAAAACATATTTTTTATTAGTTTTGACACCAGGCTAAGAGTTAGATTACAATTTTTACACCTTGCGCAACAAGAATGCATGAAGAATGCTAAACAAATAACAGAGGGAGATATTGATGAACGTAATTTTCCAAATATAATACATTACATATAATATATATTATTGCATATAGTCACTGATTGTGATTTTGATCTCTGTTTAGTCTAGCTGATCCTAATACATTATGGCTTATGATGACCTCTGATCAAGTAACCAAGGGACTTCCTGCTGGTGGATATTATAATTGGAGTTTATGGTAATGTGAACATTTCCACATTCCCTCATCTAAAGCTATGAACAGATTATACAACACTACTCTACTTCAATGGTTTCTAGAGAAGGCACAAAACATCCCACTGGCAGGAACGTGTTCAGTAAGTCCAGTACGCTACTTCCTGTTGCAGAATGTTCCTGTTCACACCCAGAAAACAAAACAGTGTGCAATGGCAAAAACAGCAAACATAAAACTACCAAAGGTCACTGTTCAAGTTTAAAGGACAGAAGGTGACTGCGATCTACAGTTACTGCAAACTCTGGAGACTCTGCTTTTCTTATGGGAATCATGTTCAGTGAAACAGAGGGAAATAAATTCAAAATCTAAGCATACCATCATAAATATGTATCAGTGCGTAATGAAGTAGCTCAGGGCTCGCTAAAAGCACTTTCAAAATAGAGAACATCTCAAGAGCTGAGCAGGAGTATCTCATCAGATGCATCACTTACTCACCCTTTTGCCAGGGGGCCCTGGTACTCCAGCTTCACCAGATGGACCTGGAGGACCCTAAATTAGAGCATATAGGAACACTTAGCTCCACTTTATAGAAATTAAGTGGTGTTAGATAATGAGCTCTGCATGTGATAGGAAAAGAACAATATTCTGCAACACAAGATGAATATTAAACACCTCAACTATAAGATTCCTCTTATTGTTAAAACTGCCAAAAATACAAAAAATTTGCTTTGTAATTTTTTCTTAAAGGTTCGACATTGTTTAGCAAAAGCTGTAAAAGAAAAATCTGAATATAAAACAATAAGCCTTTACTTGGTGATTTTGCCTTTACTTGGAAAGAAATGTAAAAATCTGATCAGCTAGACTCACCGGCTGTCCAGGTTCACCATCATCACCTTTATCACCAGGTAAACCATCAAGACCCTACACAAAAAAACATAAAGGAGCCAGAATTGACTTATCAATTACTTTAACACCTAAAATCCTATTAATAAGACAAAAAAAGGGAAAAAAAAAAGCGGAACGTACCCCAGCACCAGGCTCACCAGGGGGACCTGGGTCTCCTGGGAAGCCGACGGGTCCCTGCAGACAAATCAAAACACTGAGAAGACCGAGTTTGACTCAGATGAGTCTCACTGTGTCAAGAACAGTTCTAGCAGCAGACAGGTAAAATGAGACGTGTGTCAAAATTGCTCTGCCGCTGACGGCTCTAATGAAGCATCAGCCGTCGCTCAGTGTGAGAGTGTGTGTTTAAGAACGGCGCACGTACAGGGTTTCCCTTGGGACCATCGTCTCCGGGGGGGCCTCTGCCGCCAGGGGGTCCGGCAGCACCGGGTGGCCCGGTTTCTCCCTTCTCGCCGATCTCTCCTCGGAGGCCCTGAGGAAAATTGTGACACGGCTCTGTCATCAGAGAACCAGGTTAAGGCCAACGACACGATTGTTGAATTAGGATGGGGAAGACAAGTGCGGTTAACTTTTCGTGCCATATCGCTTCGGCTCTACTAAAAGCAAAAACGGACACTTAAAACGTTGGTTCTGGCTCAGCAGTTACTCGCACATCACTGCCGGTCCAGAACCATCAGCTGAGCAACTGGAGATGAGTCACTGTCAGCAAGGCACCTTAAATTTTCAACCTCGATTTGCTCTGCTGCACTGAGTCTATTTATCACTGTAAACAGATATGAGCCAGCCGGCAGATACATCGATACCCTCCGACAGACTGTCACACAGGGAGCCTCACGGCTGTAATTAAGATGAGACGTTTTTAATCACGGGCAAACAGTGGCTACTATTTACGAGGATCAATGACAACAATGAGATTCACATGTCAAATCCAAACATTATGTAGCCATTTATACCAGCTTAAAGATAAAAGAAAAAAAATGTCTTCACACACACTTTTATAAACTGATCTTCCGATTTGATGATTTTAATAAAAAGAATACACTCCCTAGAGCAGAGGTTCCCAAACTGTGGGGCGCGCCCCCTAGGGGGGGCGCCCTGACATTGCAGGGGGGGCGCGGGAAGCCGTCTGGATGAAAAAAAAAAATAAAACATGAACACTGTATGCGCTGGGATTTTACCTTAGAATGGCCAACTCTCTGTTATTCCTATGTCAGTTTGATACAGTAGGGCTTCCACACGTCCCATATTTGTGTCCTCTGTCACTTTTATCAGCAGTTAAAACAGTTTAGTCCGTTGTTAACATGTTGTAACCTGTTTTTCCGAGCCGCCTTTAAACGCAACATGAGCGCTACGACGCTCGCGCTGGGTTTCCACCTGTGAAGGAGACCTGCTGCTGCTGTGGAGCTACGTAGGTTTGTGTTAGAATCACGGCAGCAAACCAGCAAAGAACTTTTCACAGTTTTTCCCTCCAAACTAACCGACTGAGTTGAGAGAAGCTGCTGGATGCAGGTAATGTTAGCTAAAAGATGACTAGCTAACATCAATACAGAACCTTAAGCTTAACAAGTACCTTATAAGCTACCGATGTTGGTGTCTATTTTCAGCTACGTACATTCATTTTGCCCCCAAAGAAGTCGATGTCCCCCTCCCCCCGTTAATCCATAGGGGGTGGGGGGCGCAGAAAATGTTTGGAAACCACTGGGGGGGCGCAGAAAAAAAAGTTTGGGAACCACTGCCCTAGAGGATGTTTACTATCAAAGCGGTAATGGTGGGGGAGTCCAAGGCCACAACGCCCAGGTCACAACCATGTCATAAGACACTGTCAAAGCCAGAATCAATTCACATTGGTTTGGGTAGATTTATGTGGTATAATCCCCCCAAAATGATTGAATAACTAAAATTTCTGATTTTATTTCCGCAACACCCCACCCATCTCTAATCCCTCTTCCACAAATCCAGTTTGAAATGTTCACAAAACGTAGGGCATTCAGTCCAAACAGACTCGATATGTAAATAAGCATTGGAAAACTCATCCTAGGTAAAAATGTGGTTTTAATTTCTCAAACACTAATGTTGCCCCTCAAAATGCCACCCCGTGAGGTGGAGAATTTAGCTAATTTCAAGATCCATCTCTAAACCTAGATGTAGATTAAAAGACTTGCTTAAGAAAAGTACAAAATGTAAAACAATGATGTCAAATATCCAGAAGTTAAAATTCCAGGAATGTTGTTTTAACATTCATGTTTCTATGCTGGAGAGACTTTGAGCATGAGGACAAACTTTTCCTACTGGTGAAAATAAAATGTATGTAATATGTATGAAACAAAATAAAGAGAATGTTTGTACTGTTCTAAACTTACTGGGGTACCAGGCTCTCCAGGTGTTCCTGGGTTACCGGCTTCACCATTTTCTCCCTGTAAAATGACATTAGTAATGTCTTAGCATGTATATAATTGTGTTGTCAGATCAGATAGCGTTGCATGTTTTGCAGCAATGCAAATGAAAGGTTGAAGGTCAGACTCCTTAAATATTTGAGTTTTGAGGCAGAGAATACTTAAGGAAATAAAACATTAAAAAAAATTATGCATTTGAGCAGGAGTTGAGAAGAACATCACTCTTATATTAATTCTCAAATTTTTGATTCTTACCTTCTCACCAACACCGCCCATTGCTCCAATACCCCCAGGGGGACCTTGTGCACCCTTAAGACAAATCACAGCCATATGAAGTTTTAAATCTTTGTTTGTTGATTTTTAAATATTCTTTTTAGATCAAATCCAAGCAAAATTAAATATGCCAGCATTAAAATTTCACTCACATCAGCTCCACTGGGGCCCTGTGGACCCCTGGGACCTGGAGGGCCGGGTGGACCCTGTCAGAAAGAGATTAAAGATCAGCAGATTTATTTTGTTCCCAACACAGAAAGAAGAAAATATGAACTAACTGCTTATTGATAGTCGTTTTATTTACATGTAACCACGCAGAACATTTCAATGTAACTCTAAGAGTTACATTACTTGATAGCGATAATCATAATAGCATATTTTAAGCTTTAAAAATAATTTTATTTTTAAATAGGACATAGCGTTTCCCCCCCCACACACACAAAAATGCAGATTTTTTACTAAAACTTGATGCTGAGTTTATGCTACTAAACATTTGTTTCACAGTTTTCACCAAATAGTGAGTCAAAAATACAGAGCTGATTTGCTTGGCTAGAAGTCAAAGGTTAGACTCATTACACAAAGAGTGATAAGCATTTTTTTTCTTAATTTTGATAATTATGGATTTCAGCTTATGGAAAAAATTTAGAAAAATAAAAAAATAATTTAAATATGAAAATATATGCCTTTTGAAAAGAACTTTTTTCCTTCCACTCAACATTCAATTAAAATATTTAATGCAAATCTCTGACAAGCCAGCTTTTTTAAAGATGACGATTCCTCTCTATGACTGTATGCTGGACATCTGTCAAGTCAACAGTCTTTGCTGATTATGAAACAATCATTTTTAATTAATCTAATGTGAATTTCACCTATTCACACTCAGATTTATACACCAGCACACAGAAAAGTAGGTAATTTGGAGCTAGGTGCCTTGCCCATGTTCACATTTGACAAGAAAAACCTACAACTTTACCCCTGAGCCACAGCCACGTTGCTGACTGATGAAGAAACTGACAGTTTGCTGCATCTAAGTATTTTAACAGAAAGCTTAGTGAAAGGAAAAATGCTTTTCCTTGGGCCAATATTTCTGTGGTGAAAATATCTTTGTCATATGATACTACTTCTATCAGTAAACTAAAACTGTTATAACATTATTATTTCTAGTTATCACAGTCAACATAGTAGAAATAAAAGGTTGAAATCCAACTGGCAGATATATTTCTTGTTGAGTTATTAAACTCACCCTCCAATAAAAATATTCCAACAAATAGTTCTCTTGAGTGAAACTGAGTGCAAAGGTTATATTGTAATAGCAAAGTTGCAGAAATGTCTGCACTCACCATTGGTCCGACATCTCCGTTCTCTCCCTTCTCACCAGGAGGGCCTGGCAAGCCCTGTAAAGACGACAAATACTGCTTAGCACACAGAAAGGAAGGTAAAATGAGGCAACGCTCCATATTAAAAAGTCCACAGACAGGAACATATATACATTTGTGCTGCTCATTACCAGATGCTTTTAGTTGACACTTTTTGAATAGGAGGCCATTGGGATGCAAAGCGATGGAGAGTGCATTAATACTAACAGAACCCTGGAGCATAAACACACAATTACTCAAAAGGGACACCTATTGTAATTAAAGGGTATGGGAGGCTTGAGTATAATCAGCCTGTGTAAATTGCAGGGTGGAAACTCCATCCATCTACGTCCACAGTGGAGTGGAACGAATGTGACTGTGCAGGCGGTGCCTATTATGCAGCTATGGGATTCAGTCAAGCTCAACTAAAAGAGTTGAATGCACCTCAGAAAGGTGGATGTGTAGAAAGGATGAAGAAGGTGTCACTTTCCATTGTTGTCTGCTGTTTATCTGCATAATTGCAGTTATTATGTGTTGTTCACAATGGTGGAGCATGTGTAACACATAAAGGTATGGAAAGCAGCTGTAGTTGTGGGAAAGCAAGAGTATAATGATATGGATGTGAATCAGTGCTGGAACATATATGTAGTTTCAACCTATTTTGTTGATTTGCAGTAGCACTGAAAACTATTGATAATGAGCAATGACTGGAAGTTTGGCGTTGTGGGTTCCTGGTGTAAAAATGGGAAAATAAATAAAGCCTGAACTAATTTCTTCTATAGCACTTGTATAATGGAAAAAAAAAAAAGAAAACATGTTGAAGCATTTTATACATGTAACCCTTGCTTATTAAACGTGTACTGAAGAAAATGAATTAGTAAGGAAGAAAAAAAAGCATTATGAGTTTCATTAGCAAAGACCATTATGCACAACAAACTTGGAGCGCACATCAGAAGAAATCAATAATTGTTCAGAGTTGGCATTTACTCCATTTCCACACTAGCCTTGAACTATAACAACACTGATATGAACAAATGTGATATTTACTTTTCTTCTGCGTCCTCGTTGTAACCTCTTAATCTGAACAATTCATCCTCTCAGAGGAGGACTCCTATACCTCACAGCAAACTCTGCACAAACTGGAAGGATTTGAGGATAAAGACACTCCTTCCCCTGGTCAAAAATCATTAAAGCTACAGATAATTGCATTGAAAAGCTGAAGTTGCAGCAGCTGCTGCTGTGTATTGAAGGATGGCTTAGCCAAAAAAAAAATAATTATAAGAGGGGACATGGAGTGCATTATGCCCAATTAAAAGCCAATTGCACTTAATAACAACGTTATCTAGCCCTATTGACCAACGAAGCTTCGCTCTAATTTCATCCTCAGTGGGTCCTTGGATAATTGACTTTGAGGTACTCTGAAGAGCGCAGTTTCTTTATTCACTGACATTAAAGGAAGTTTCCTTAAACTTCAGCTCATCAACTTAAATGAATCAATGTGGTAATTTTCAGCTTCTCTTTCATAAGCTCCATTTTTTAAAGGATTTTATGAGTGAGAAACTGTTAAGAGGTAATAGGCAGTTCATATCTTAAAGGAGTAGATGACTACCTTTGCGCCTTAGTTTTGTGTGAGACTAAACTATTTTATCCCAGACATGGATGCTGCCAGCTGGATGGATGAAGTCCAGGGCAAACAATTAAATCCTAAATATGGTTTATGGAAACACTCTTTTATAAAATGTCAACACATTTTGTCTTGTAGAGTGATCAAGCACAGTGATTTCATGGTCATTAAAATGTGTACTGGTACTTTTGGAAGTGTGGACTGTTAAAAAGTCCTGCTGGACAACGACGTCAGCATCCCACTGAAGCTTGTCAGCAGAGGGAATTTCCTGGTGGACGGCGGCTCTGACTTTGGATTTGGTGAAAACATAGTGGACCAACAGCAGATGATATGGTACCCTAAATCATCACCGACTGTGGAAACTTCACACTGGATCTCTGTTAACTTGGTTTCTGTGCCTCTGCACACTTCCTGCAGAAATTGGGACCTTGATTACCAAATGACAACATGATTTACTTTCACCGCTGAACAGTCCAGTCCATTTTCTCTTTAGCTAAGGAGAAAAAGGACTGGACTGTACAGTCTCTGGTCCATGAGTGGCTTATTGCAAGGAAGATGGCAATTGTAACTCATGTTCTGTATATGTCTGTGTGTAATTGCTCTTGAAACTCTGACTCCAGCTGCAATTCATACATCATTAACCTCCCTCGCACTAATAAGTAGAATTTCCATCACAATCCTCTTAGGGCTGTGACTAATCCCTGCTGCTTGTATATGTTATTAACAAAAGTTTGTCCTTCCATTCAACTTTCAGATTCCATAGATATGGTCTTTTGTGGCTTATCCTTGTGTGGAAGGTGAGAAGGGCTTTCTGCTGGACTGTCAAGACAGAAGAAAGTAATGGGGAGGTCAGCAGTATTCCCCATTATTGTGTAGGCCATAACAAAACATTGTGCATCAAAAATCCTGTCATGTTCAAAAACACTAAATTCTGAGTTCCCATTAACAGATTAACATAAATAATGCACCGTAAGGACATGAGGGGTCACCATTATGCTGCAGTCACACTGAATCTTACACACTGAGCACAGCCTCTCAATTGCGGCAGATTGGCCCAAGTATCAATAGCATCAATACCGAAGCTGGCGCTGATCAATGATGGGATGATTTGATCATATTGTAGTTTCAGTTTTGCCCCTTCTCCTCCTATGTGTTTCTCACCGTTTCATCCATACATAGACATTTTTTTTTCCTAAAATTTAAACTGTTTATTTTATCAAAAATATTTATTCATATTACTGCCATTTAAAAATTGTTCTTAACTAATGAAATTTGAAAAAAACAAAAACAAAAAAAAACTAAGTGAAAAGTGGAGGAAAAAAAACAAAACAAACCGAGGCAGGCATGAAAATTGTTTCAGATTTAGCTTTTCCAAATAAAAGCAAATAAATAAATACATAACAAATATCCTGTGGCACAATTATTGGTACTCCTATAATTTTTTACTAATAGGACAGCACTTAGGCTTCGATAACGTTTTAGGATGTGGATCACGTCACAATAACCTACAGGTCATCCATTGAGAAACAAAAAAACGATAAAATTATAATGCTTTGCCTACCAAACATCTGAGTGGAATAAATGAAGTCGGGGTGCATATTGTGTCTATTGCATCATGCTTTCGTCTGCAAATGGATGAATGTGTTATTGCGTCTGTGATGACAGCAACAGAGCTCAATAAAATGCTGCCATCAAAAATAAAGAGAAATACAGCTTAATGTGTGTGGAGTTGGAAAACAAAACTGTGAATCAATTATTGATAAAAGCCCTCAGATCTTTCTCCTCTTGAGCAATCAATACACAAAGCCTGTGGGTGGAAATGAGCCTTGTGGGTAATTTTCAGCCTGTCTCACAAAAGACAATAGATTAATAGAAAAGTGGATTTAAATGCTTTCAGTGTTTTGTCATATGGAAACTGGAGTGTTTTTGGGACTGCCAGATAGACATTTAGTGCATGAATTTGATGCAATTTCAACAGAAAATCCAGCAGAAAAGGTAAAAATGTTGATGATAGTGATGGATTTTCAGTCCCATCTATACCAAGAAAAGTCCTTGAGCGGGTAAAACATTATTTACCCCAGAGCTAAGCAAAGTGTTATTGGGAGTCAAGCTGCATTAATAAAATATGCTCTGTTTTGATGTATTGTAAATGGGGAGATGAAATGCTTCAGGTTCAAGGAGTTTGGAGGAAATCTCATTGCATTAGACGGCTCTGACAGAGGAAAAGCGATATGCATACCCGGCAGGACAATACTCAGCGGGACTTTGGGTGTTGTATGTTTTGAAAATAAAAACAAAAAAGGTGGAGGACTGGAAATATGAATGTAAAAAAGCAACACATTTGATGGAGACTTGCCTGCAGTCCGATGGGTCCTGGCAGCCCTGGAAAGCCTCTGGGTCCTTCATCTCCTTTCTGACCAAACATGCCCTGCTGTCCTCTTGGCCCAGACTCACCATCACTGCCCTGTGGGAGGGCAGGGTTCATAAAATCTCATTAGCTGTAGCTGCAGCAAATGCAACCCCTCAAACACTTGTATCCGTCCGTTTATTCTTAATAAGTTTCAAGGTTACAAAGTATATCTGAGCTCACATGGAAAAGCATGGATTCAGGAAATACATAATAGAAATCGGAAACCAAATTTGAACTTTACAGAAAGCTATTTCATGGATTTTAGATAAAGTTAGCATTCAACAACTTTTTTTGCAAGTTAGAGTTTTTCAGTGTTGGTATACTGGCCACATAAAACCCCTTTTCCCAAATTAAACATTTGCCTTTGTAGGTCATTTATAGAATTCAGCATAGGTGCATGGTACGAGCTATTTGATCCTTTTGAGAATAAAACATGAAGCTAAAACTTGAATCAAAACTGGACAAGCATGAGGCAATACCTCAATGATACGCCCTTGTGGTGTACCTGAGGGCTTTCCGACTAGAGACTCTCATCAGGAAAAAGCAAGACGCAGAAAAGAATTGCCACAGGGTTATGGTATGTGAAAGATGCTGACTTCTGTGAAGTCAGAGGTGCATCGAGCTACAGAGGGTAGAAAGACGAGACTGTGGGGGAAAGAGTGAAGTGCTGACAGACTGGGAGTTTTCAGTTCAAACACGTGTCAGCACTTGAAAGTGCTTGAGGAGGCTCTTGCCGAGCCCTGGGACATGTAGGGAGCCTCAGGCGATGGTGGTGAATGCAGAACAGTTTAGAGGGAAATGTTAGGTGATTATGGGGGAAACGAGCACAGCTTTGAAAAAGAAAAGTCACAGACAAAGTGGCCTAAAGCTCAGAGACGCTTTAACAAACCAAGTCGCAAATCTAATCTCCTCAAAGAGATTGAAAACAGAGTTGCCTGTGAGGTTAGAGTGCTTAGATTTAAACTGCGCTCAATTTGTTAGTCACCTTCACAGAACATTCACAATTCACGTGCCTGAATTTATTTATTTATTTATGTAAGTGATGCCTCTGACTTGTTTAATTTAACCTTTAAAGAATGTGTCACACCTGTAAAAAAGTTACCAACACAATGCAAAACTGTGAATGCGCAGGGTGCCTTTCATGCCCACAGGCATCACAAAGGGCAAAGCTCTGCACACGTTGGTGTAAAGTCTCCAGACAACACTGCCCCTTCTATAGCGTCAGCCAGTGTTCGGTCTTTGCTGTATGGTTAACACGTCTTTGCTCAAAGTTTAAAATCTAAAGCCAAGAAAGAAAATCCATTCTCTTTCTACTCAAACACTAATGATTTCCCAGATTAAAAGTCTTGTCATCTCGCGTCTGAAAGCATGTTTTAATGAAAGCAAATTATGTCGAGACTACTCAGCATGAGTCAGGATTCACTTGTGAAGACATAGATGCACATAAGCAGACTGACTCACCAGGGTAAACAACTGTTAAATAATTTTCTATTCAGCACGGGTGCACTTGCTGCTTGCAGCAATCTGTCTCACCAGGTCTACTGCAGCCCCCACAGAGCCCCGCAGACGATACTTTTTTCCCTGAAATGGTTGGTAAGGCCTTATTATTTTCAGCAATGAGCTGCTAGTTACCCTGAGGCCACCAGATATTGTAGCAGCAGGACTTTCCCTATGAGTAGAGGATGTTCTGCAGCATTTGCAGCTGGCACATGTGCTGTTTCAACTAATATATGAAAATGATTGTCAGCTTGTTGACGAGCCATCATTAGGGTTTTTGTGAATAGATCATTGAGCCCAAACTTGTACTTTTAACTGCAACTAATGATGTAGATTTACAAAATTCAGAATAATAATAATAAAAAAATAACATAACTGATGATAATTGACCAAAAAAAAAAAAAAAAAAAAGAGCTTAATGGTCAGAGGTTCAGTTGTGGAGGTGAAGAAGTTTCAGGATGTCCAGGAGTTTCAGGAAGTACAGTTTTATCCTGCTACCAGGAAAAAAAAAAAACATTGGCAGAAGGTGAATTTGGTCTCATAACTGGCCTTGTGGGAGGAGAAGCAGCAAAGGCATCACTTCAGTCTGTTACGGCCCCTGCAGGACCCTTGTGGTTAGCCTGGACATTTATCGTTCAGATCCAACCCTGACTGATTACTGGTACGGGACACCTGAGGATCTGGTAAGACCCTCAGCTCTTATTAAACCCTGACTGCCAACTAACTGCTCTCCTGCTACGGTCTTTTACATGCATCCTCCGCTCATGCACCACTGATTTCACAAACTTTTACACCTCATTTTTGAAACTTTGTCTTTAATCTCAGTTTGTATTTTATACATGAAACTCTTTTGCATGATTTGTCTCCCTTTTTGCTGTCGCCTTTTGAGGCAGATCGTAGCAAGTTCAGGAAGATAATCGAGGTCAGAGGGAAACTCTACAGGATGAACGGTAGAAGAATGATAGAAAGTCGTTTGCTTTGGGGCATCTAGAAAATCTTTGCTCAAAGAGAAAACGATGAGTAGGGTAAAGTGGGGTAAAGCATTCATGCAATCCTTGTGTATGATGGATTCTCACCCGTAAAGCGGGCACAATTATGTTCGAGAACATCGCAATGAAAAACAAAAGGCTCTAGCAGCAACTTCTTTAAGACTGTTTCAAGATCGGAAGATTGATCAGATTTGGTAGATACTGAATATCTACATTTATAGATATTCAGTATCTATAAATGTGATACTGAATCACTACTGTAGCTACTGAATATATACAGTATAAATATTATACTTTATATCCTGACACAATATCCACCGAGTTAGGATATTCCAGCTCAGTGGACACCAACAATTCCACATATTCCTTAATAAAATGGCTGACTGTACTTTGTAATTATGTTGCCATATTGCATTTAAAGTTTACTCCTTTTAAAATTTTCAGATTTTAACAAACCTGTTTTCTGGATGTTTCTGAGTACACCTTGTAACTTTTAAACACTTCCTAACACGAGCAGATAAGAGCGTGTAATCCCACTTATAGCACTGTCACATCATCTCAGAAGTGCATATTTCATAAGTGGCTTAGAGTTTTGCAGGCCTTTGATCCTGACTTATATAACGCTTTCACTGTCTTGAGGAGGCCTTGACTGGAGTAAACATTTCAAACCTGTCTCCATCAATTCATTGTTTTTCTTTGCAGCCAGAGGCAGGCATTAGTAGAACAGCTAATTTTTATGGCATCAGAAACGAGTCTTTTTTTTTTTATTTATTTTTTTTTTTAAACACCATGATATGCAAAATAAAAGCTGGAAGCCTTTAAAAAAAAATGCTGAGGATATTTGGAGGGAATACTGATGCAGCTACAAAGTCAACCAGGTCTTTTGGAGCCTATTTTCTGAATATAAAATATAAAATCCTTGAAAGTAATAATTTTAGTCATCAAAGACTTACTGTTAATATTTCATGTGGTGAATTTTGATGGCCAAGTGGAAGTGATACTTACAGCTGGACCGGGAGCTCCAACCACGCCCTGGAGACCTGTTGGGCCGGGTGGACCCTAAAGGAAAAACAAAAGAAACATTTACAGTCTGATGAAGCAGCTCTTTATGCAACACTGTCAAAAATGTCACCTGATATATCTATATATATTTTTTTATATTTTAAATATAGAAAAACAAAATGCATCCCTGACACTGGAACCATTTTACATTTTTTGATGCTACATTGTTTTATGCTGGTGGGTTTGGGGTTGACACCCAGCAGACTGACCCAAACTTTTGCTCTATTGCTAAGTAGTGGAAAAATTAGACAAGGTTTTCAAACTGTCTTACAGAAAACATCTGAAAAACTGTGTTTTTGGTTTCTTTGTACTTACATTTCTTCTATCTATGCTTTATAGATCTATTTATTGGAGCAATTACAGCTGTAAGTTTTTTTTGTTTGAGTGTCTGCTAGTTTTGCACATCCTAAGCATGACTTTTTACTTGTTCTCCAGTTAATATAGCCCACGCTAAATCAGATTATACAGAGCTTCTTCTTTTCTAATCTCTTCCCACAGAGTAGATTTAGATCAGACTGATTCTGTTGTCCTAACTCGTAAAATAATTTGAGATTATTGCAATTTTTCAATAATTGAAAAGGTTTCAAAGGGTGTGAATATTACTGCAGGACACTGAATTCTAAGAAAGAATTTGATATACATTTGTTTATAAAAAAAAAAAGCCAAATTCAAAATTCATGAAAAAATATGTAAGGAAACAAGACATTCATAATGTTTCAGAAAAGCTGCAGACTTTTCAACACAAACATAATTGAGAAGAGCAGTCGCCACATGCTTCTGCTATATGTTCATTCCACATGAGAAATCAGTAGTGATGATTAGTTTTCTTTAGCTAATTAACTTTTAGTGTCATTTAAAATGCAATGGCTTCGGAGAAACCTTGTTATAGAATGTAATCAAAGAAGTAGGGTTATAAAGACTCACCCGTTCACCCTTGTCTCCTTTGCTTCCCTTCTGTCCAGGTCCGCCCACTTCTCCCTGTGGTCCAACACACATTCACAAAAGCTCTCATATCTCTCCTTAACATCTTAAAAAACCTCCTGCCTGCCATGTTTATTCAAAGTCCAATGTCTTCAAGTGTCACCTTTATCAGCATTGGCCACTGAATATTCCTCAAGAGATTCTAATTTGATTGGCCCAGAAAGACCTTGGGCGAGTGTTTTCAATTAATTGATTGGCTCCCCGTCTCACCCCGTTGGTAGTATGACTGACAGAAAGGTGTGATATAAGACGTGACTTGAATGAAGGAGGTGTGACGGTTACAAAATGCAGATCTGTGGCTCAGTGTAACAGCGGTGGGTGTTGCTAGCCTAAGGGTGAACATTTTGTGTAAACAGCAGGATGATTCAGCGCCTGCCTTTGTTTGAGAAACATCTTATCTATTTAGTTCACATGATGCGTAACTCTAGATGGAATCACACATAGCAATATTAACTCTAACAAGCAAATAAAAACATTTGTTTATGTGCATCAAAGGGCTTTTTTAAGATACAGTGCTGGTCAGAGGTGTGCATACATTCATCGTCAATAAGAATGTGAGGTATAGGCCATACATTTTTAATATGAAGGAGGTTAGCGCCTTTCCGTGAGCTTAATGCTAGCCTAATGCTAGCCTACCTAACTGCTCTAAACCCATCTGATCCAAAGGGCCAGCTTTGACGAAGGGACATTGGTGAGGATGTTTAGGAACTTTCAGGAGGCACAAGAACATCCACGTCGCTGTCCATAGTGAAGCAACTTTAATCATGTGAGACCAAAACAAAAAGAGGCATATATGTCAAAGTTGAAACTCTCAGTAGCAACTAATATTTGTAGCTTCCTCCATAGACAAGACAAATATCGTCTGGAGAAACGTTTTGTGTTTAGAGGAGGAAAAAACAGAAGAATGTTTTGATGGAGAAACGTAAGGCTTTTTCTCCAACTTGCTAAGAGATATTTATTCAAAAGGATTACGGAAAATTCTGAGCCTGTGTGGGTTGGAGGAAAATCAACAAGAAATGCAAACCTGTGCATCCAACTATTATTTTAAAAATGTAATTGTATTATTTGCTGCCCCCTAAAGAAGAGTTGAAATGCGTAAATAAACGCCTCAAATTAACATGACTTTTAAGCGAATCAGTATTTTTTAACTTCGGACCAGCACTGTATGCTGTACATCTAATAAAATAACATATTTGTCAAAATCTTTAAGAATAAAAATGTTTCTTTGTGTGCTTTTTCATCTTTTTGTGAATAAAAGCTTGTGGATTTCTTGTACTAACAAAGACACTTTTACTTTACCTTATCGCCGTCCTCTCCTGGGGGACCCTGAGGACCAGCTGGACCAGGAAGACCTACCGGACCTTGAATGCCGTCACGGCCAGCTGGACCCATGGGACCTTTCTCTCCCTGTGAATAGCATTTGTTACAATCATTTGATGACACCATGGAAACTTTAGAGTTTAGGAAAAAGTTTTAAAAAAAAAAAAAAAAAAAAAAAAAAAAAAACAAGCTAGGAAAACTCACAGGGGATCCCTTTTCTCCAGCAGGGCCTGGTGGTCCTTGTGGGCCGTTGCGTCCTGTCTGACCAATAGGACCTCCGGGACCAGCAGGGCCTCTCTCACCAGGGGAACCCTGTTGTCAAACACCAGCCAGATAATACTGCATTAAATCCTTCAACCTTAAAAGAAGCTAAACACACCGGGGGAATCTGCTGGATATTTTCTTGAATCAGGGGCTTCCGTAGTTGAAAAAATATTCAACATTTGCTGAGATGTGTGTTTAACAAACAAAAAGACTTAAACAAGATGTTCAACTAGTTGTTGAAGTGCACGTATTGATAGCTGTTAAGTCAAATTCAAACTGAAAAAATAGTTTGCGAGGCTATCATTAATACATTTTATATACCATAAAACCAAGACAAAGTATAAGCTGATATTTCCTACATAAAGTATCTCTAAGCATAGAGTCAAAATGATCAAAATAGTATAACCAACATGACATTTATACACTCAGTTGAATATTAACCAGACTGACAGCCTTCAGCTGTTATCTGACTGAAAGCAGACCTCCACAGTGAGCTTATTATGTAAGCAGTGGTCACACTTTTCCCACACCAGTCATGTCTCTTCCTGACTTTTCCCCGGTTGGTGATTGCCTCCGTGTACGAGGCCCTAAATCACACATATTATTGATCAGAGCGTCATCATGACACCCTCCCACTAAGGGAGGGTTTTGAGCAAGCTTCTAACAAAACGAACACAATGAACTTTGATTTGCATGTGTTCGGGGCCAAAACTATGACCTGATTCCCACTCACTAAATCGGCTGCTGATGCGAGCCGCCACCTGGCACTCATATGCCTGGCCCATTTCATGACAGCCATTTTCTGGTGACACACATACAACAGCTCCAAACTGTCATCCCAAAGCTGCCAACCTTCCCACCAGGCCTCACACACAAGCCTCTACGATAGTTTGTTTGATTCAACGCATTTCACTAGTTTTCTTAATGTTTCTTGTTTTGTTTTTTCTTCTCATGTTTTCCTCCAACACATTCGGCCAGAAACGGACAAGATGCGCCACTTGTGGAACCAATTTTTGTTTTTGCGCCGTTGTTTCACTTTCACTTTCTGCTAGACACATACAAGCCTTTAAAAAAGACAAGGGAAAAGCAACACACACACACACACACACACACACACACACACACACACACACACACATACCACACTTAGATCCCCAATGCACAACAGCAGCTGGATCAGTGGCAAGAAATCGATAGAGGGAAATATCAGATCTGCTGTGTGCATGCACATTGCATACTGGTCACTTTTTCCTATTACAACAATGCTACCAAGTTAGTATTTCACCTGTGTTCTCTCTATGACTCACTTTCAGGCCAATTTAGGAAAACCACCTCTCTTTGCAGTGGAAATTGCTTTTCTCGTTCAGTGAAATTCTCCTCTTCTCACTTTCACAGTCTTTCATGCCTGCTATGCATATCCGCTGTCATCTACACTGCTGTTGCTCTGCTGCTGGTGAGCAGCGGGGCAATTATCGGGAACCTGGGCTTAACGCTTCAACAAAGTGACAGACAGTTCAAAGCTGCCCGTCAATCAGATTATGCACAGCATCTCAGCTCCTGAGGCTTTTGTTGCCCATATCTCTAACTGAGGGGCCAGAGACAAAAGGCAGGAAGAAGAAAAAAAAAAAAAAAGTTTCATTTATTTATGAATTGCTCTGTCACCCCTGCTTCCCTTTCATGGTCATAAACTGCAGTATGACAGGAGCATACATGATTTTCCGTGCTGCATGATGTAGAGTAATTGTAACCATGATATGTGAAATGACTTCCATTAAAATTTCACTCAACTGATTTAGGATGGACATTTTTATATCCCTTCAGATTAACTTTCAACAAATTGGGATTCTATGTGATAGACCACAAAGATACATCTGATACATCTTTAAATAATGCCATTCTTCTTGCCACTTTTCTATAAATGTCAGATTTATGACAGCTAATATTTGCCCTTCGAAAAGACACTCCACCCTGAGCAGTAGGTCTCTGCAGCCCTTCCAGGGTCACCATGGACCTGCTGGCTGCTCCTCAGATTAATGCTCTCAGTTTTTCTCCCATTTCCCAGTCATGCACAACTTTGTGTTGATCTATTATACAAAATTCCAAGAAAATGCATAAATGAAGTTTGCTATTGCAGAGTAACAAAATGCGAAAAAGTATAAGGAGTATGAATACTTTTAAAAGGCAGGCTAAATTAACCCTTTGATGCATAGTGGTCACTACAGTGGACAGCTGTCTAAAAGCCATTTTCTTGATCTGGATTTTTATGTTATAAATGCACACAGACCACTGAAGTGGACACTAATGCATCATAAAATACACTATCAACTGCTGGTCATCAGCTGGAAATGCAAGAAATTATTTTTGTTAAATCCACTATGGCCGACAGACTAAAAAGCACGCCGACCGAACCGGTCCCTCCTTCTACTGTAGACGACTCTAGCAAGTAGAAAAACAATATTGTGACATCAGATAACCCCTAAAGAACAATACTACTGATGTATTTTTTCAAATAACAACTTTGTACTTGGAGAAAATTACAATTGATCACCTAAAAAAATAAATAAATTAAATAAATATCTTTTACAAATCTTATTTCCTACCTTTCTTTATGCCTTAAGAAAATAAAAAAATAAAAAATTGGAAAAAAATCCTGACACAAAGGATCATAATTCATTCATGCATGAAAGGGTTAAGATAATTTAACTAAAATAATTATTGTTGACCAAACTAAACAAAACAGTTCGGACATTAGAAGCATATCACCTCCATCTGTGCAACAACAGTTGCTATAGGAACTGTTAAGTGCGTGTGCGGAGAACATCCATGATCAGTCAAGCAACAGGGATGAGACTAGCTGCTCTTCGATTAGCCTCTTAAGCAGTAATTAGGTTGTATTTCAGTGAAAAAACACAACAAATCAGGCAGCCTTTTGTCCAGCTGTGGTTTACGTATTTCTCAGGTTCTTTAATTTTACCAGCTGCAGTTTTTCAGTATTTTATAAATCAGGAGAGTTTGCCAACTCTGGGCAAGATCAATACATCTAAAGAAAAAAAAAAACTGAAAGAAAATAAAGTTGAATAACTTGGACTAATGAAAACGTCTTGAGAATAGTCACTTTTAATAAAAGATAAATATTTTTCTTGCTATGACTATAAAACATACAAACAGAGAAGAAAGAGGTTGGGATAGGAATGCTAAACACCAAATAGAAAACCTCCTCATATCCCGCGATAAAATTTTAATCCAATCACTCCACTGTACTCCGTCCAGCCATTCTCTGTGCTGCAGTTTTCATTGCATGCACTGCTGAATGACTAGAGAATGGGGCTGCGCGGAGCACGAGCGGCTCAATTATCCAAAAGCACGAGTCACTTTTCCTCGCAATCTCTGTGGCTAGAGAGATGAGGTAACCATAGTAACTGGCTACTTACGATGGGGCCGGGGGGACCCTGAGGTCCTTCTCCTCCCTTTAAGCCACCTGGACCCTGAAAAGAGAGGGAAGAGAGAAGGTTAGATATCACTCACTGTGAACCACCACTCAAAGCTGTTCCAAGACTGACAATTGTAGCTGTCCAAAAGCTCTTTAAAAACTTTGAGCATGCACTTTTGTGTGTCCATACGTGCATTTGTATAAAGCTGAAGAGACTTCAGTGTGGAAAAATAGGATAAAAACAGACAAAAGTTACTGATACTCTTTTTTCTGTGTTGAGAGCCAAGAATCAGTGGGCCTGTTGGTGAAGATATTGTTATTTATTGCATTAAACAATTATTTATTCATTGATTATCACCAGCTTATTGTAGATACTCTTAAAACAACAAAAAAAGCTTTATGTGTTTGGTCCTTGAACCAATATCAACACACTACAAATCACACAAATTAAAATAATTTTAAAAAAGCTCATAATTACAATCTTTTATTTTTGTGAAAGAATAGTGAAAAGAATAATTTCTCTCCAATAATTATCCCAGTGTTTGAATGTGTGAATGACTGAACGTAGAGTGAAGTGTTATGAGGTCCTCTGAACTTGATAAAGTGCTACACAAGTACAGGCCATTTACCATTCAGTTACCCTTCACTGTTTAAAAAAAAAAAAAAAAAAAATCACTGTCAATTTCCTGTATAACACAGATTAAAAATATTTTAAATAGGAAATCAGATGTAACCCATACACTTATCATGGACCTGGATGCCTTTCTCTTTTTGGAAACTGATATTTTTTTTAGCTAAAACCCAAGCTTCTTGTATAAAAATGCTAATTACTGACAACAAAAGCAAACACTTGTGCCTTTCATTGCTCAATATGTTTACGCTGCAAATCAGTTTCCTATTAAAATGCATGCTGTTTATTAAATCATTATGGACCCTGGCTTTCAAAAGTATTACATTATCAATGCAATGGGAGTCACCGCTTGAGCTTAAAAGGAACCAGAAGAATAAGAAGCGATGACAAGTTTTAAAACCCCACTGCGAGTCCCAGGTTGAGGCATGGCCCATTTATCTCCTGCCTCTTGGCACCTCGTCAAGTTCCCGGTCCTTGAATGGCAATGGCTGTGCTGATTCACAGCACAGAAGGGGTCTGGGGCTGCATATGGAAAACAGACTTTTATTATAATGGCTAATTTACAGGTTCCAGCAGAGCCAGGGGCTGTGGTGGCTGCCAAGCAGGCGCTGCCACTGGCTGGCTTGAATGATTCTCCACAGTGTAGTAAGGGACTATAATGCGTATTTGTTTTATATGTGCGCCCACGTCGACACACCGGGTCCTTCTGGGTTTTCTGTATCTGGATGGGATCAGTCTAAGAAGCCGAAAGAGCGCGCATGTGTTTGCTCACATATTATGTTTGTGCTTCCATTATTAAAAGAAAGTCATCTTTCTGCTCACATGGGACCAACACACCGGCTGTAATAAGTCTGCTCTGTGCTGTCGTGTGCGCCCATAATGGTCAGCCTTGGAATGAGGTTCGGCCACACGCTCCCCTAAGCTGATCCTGAGTCAGCCTCTAATAGCCATCTGCTCTCACCTTGAACTTTTTCTCACTCACACCCACTGCTTCTGAGAATCAGCACCGGTTTCTCCACACATTTGATGAAGAGTTAAAAAGTTGCAAAGGGTTTTAAACTGAAAGCGAGACACTGACTCACTATTTGTTTGGGAGCAGAACATGCCTCCTAAATGAGGAGGACTCTGGAACAACTTTAACTTTTTTAATGCATGGATTACTACTGAAAAAAAAAAAAAATTCTCTAGCATAACTAACTTACCTTTGCTTTGTTGCAACAAGCAAACTGTCTCTAAAACTGCAGGGTGTGGGGGGGAAACAATTATATGCTATTTGTCTCGGTCCTCCATTAGTTCCATAAGCAAGTTCTGCACCTTTTATCCAGTTTGCTCTCACGCCTGACATTTGGTTTAACAGCAGGTTGTTAGCCTGGTAATTAGAGTAGGCTAAATTCAGCTGAAAATGGGGGTTGGCATGTGAAAATGTTTTTCTGTATAATTATGTAAAAAAAAAAAAAAGTTACCATGGCTCCTGGGAGACCTCTTGCCCCTTGGAAACCTTTTAATCCAGGTGGTCCCACCTTGCCAGAATGACCTGAAGGACCTGGATCACCCTGGAGAAACGAAAAGAATACTCTTAACACCTGGCAGAGTGTCAGGCAATTATTACCGTGAGGTCTTGAGGACGAAGGAGAGAAATTATGAAAGTTGTCTGATAATAGATTATAATGATTAATTAGTTCCCTATCTGGAAACAAAAGCAAGAGATTAAGAGGTAAAAAGATGAAAAAAATTTATCATTTTTAGATGAAAAAAAAAAAAAACTTTCATCTTCAATAGTTTGTCAAAGAACAAAACTGACCTTCCAGATGGACAAAAAACTAAAACGACTAACAATACTACAATTCCCTAAACTTTCTTATGAATTTTAATAAATAAACATTTAATATTCATTCTTCATCACCTTTCCTCCTTCTTTTCCTGCAGCTCCAGGTAGACCTTGCTCTCCGGGTGGACCAGGAGACCCTGGGTGTCCTCGCTCTCCGCTTGGTCCTGTCTCTCCAGTTGGTCCCTATCAAGAGCAATGCAGGCGCATGTTTTCATATGTATATGAAATAATTGGTTTGCATTTTTGTAATCATATGTTGACAAATAAAGCAAATATAATTAACTTTGGGTGTGTATTTGTTCCAGATTTGATCTTGTAAACAGCTGTATAATTTTCTCCCATAAACGGATGAATAAAAAACATAATAATCTCAGCTTGTGCTTCCCAGTTTGAAAGAAACGATCAAGTTTGTGTGTGTGAAGCTTCTTAATTGTATCTGATTAAATATTTCTGTCATTGTCAATGGGTAAACTTTTGTGGTCGAAACATTTCTGCAAAAAACACGAACAACAACTAAACATGGTTAACAAACACAGCAAAATTAGCTGCATATTACCTGAGGTCCAACCACCCCTCCAGGTCCCGGAGGGCCAGTCTTTCCTTGGAAACCCTGAGAAAGACAGATAGTTTTATACATGGATAGCTTGATAGTTTAATAGATCATTGGACATATAGTTTTATAGCTCAATAAGTTGACATCTTAACAGATCCATGGGAATATAGCTTGAAAGCGTGATTGATAAACGCCTTGGTAGCTTGATGGACAGATAACTTGATCGTTCATTGTTTGATCACTCCAGAGATGGCTTAACAGCTCAACAGCCTGATATCTTGATAAATTGCTGGACGGGTAGCTTGACAGGAAATACTTTTCCCATAGCTGAATAGTTACTTTTTTTCTTTGACATCTTAACGTTAGGATTTTGATTTAGGAACATTTATGATAGCTGGCGAGGTATTTACTAAATCCAATCTATATTATTCTATTTCAGTTCAGATAAAATAAGATCTGAAGTGATCAAAGGGAAAATAAATCCTTGTAAAAACAGTCAGAGCAAGTAATGGAAAGTTTTATACGTTGTTTTTGTTAGAAAAATGTTATCAGAAAATTCAAAGCAAATGCCACAAGCTCCAGAACTGTAGGTTAATAAAAGTGGTTTGGGCAATACTGACATTAAGAACTATGTTTTTAATTAAACATTAAACACTCTCCATATATCACTTTGGATCCCCATCACTGATGCTACTCAGCTTCTGAGGCCAAAAGAAATGACATCCAATGTCAAAATGGCAAAAAAAAAAAAAAAAAAGTTCACAAAGAAAGATTCCCGCTTACCGTTTCCCCCCTCTGTCCAGGATGTCCTGGCAGCCCGTCTTTCCCTGGTGGACCCTGGAGAGGAAACATTTGGACAGTTTTCAGAAATCAAGGTAGCAAGTTTATAAAACGAGGGTGTCAACATGGCTGTGAATAAAGCTCAGCTTTACAGCTCACAGGCAGTTTGACGGCAGCCACTTACATTAGGTCCTTTGGGTCCGGGTAAACCGACGGGTCCCTGAGGTCCTTGAGGTCCCTAATGGGAAAATTTGGGGAACAATAAGGCAAAGAAGCATAACTTAATGTGTGTGTCATTTTAAAGCGTTTTAACTGGAAGTTCATCTCATTTACTTATGATTGAAAATCAAACTCCCAATATCTCTTAGAGATTAAGGGCCTTTTCACATCTAACAAAGACCATACGACAACATAAAAATCATAAAAAAAAACAAACAAGCCTTTTCTTTTAGAGTGCCTTATTGATGTTTTGCACGAAACTTCCTTTTTAGAATCGTGGGGCTTAATTACCAAGCTCACAGCATTTCTGGGGGCCGAAGCAGCAGTGGCAGTTTATCCATGGCATGTGGCCTGCAAGCACCAACATGCAGGTGCTGCCGCGCTGGCCCTGATCCAGGGCACCAACCTGATTATGTCCACACATTAGCAGGGCAGTACTCCAAGTAATTTTAGCCTTGTAGCTGTAGCTGATATGCTCATCGTGACTGGTGGGTTCTTTGGCTTCAAACAAAAGGAGCTAGCAGCTGAAACAAATAATCCATTCTCTCCATGCCGTTAAAAACAATCTCATAATCAGGTCCATCGCGCACAGAAATCTCTATGCGTTTGGCTCCCAATGGAGTAGGGAGGAAGAGAAGTGTGTGCTGGTTCGAAACGCACATCCACACTGTTTTCAGAGAGACCAAAGGTGGCTGTGAGTTTTCAGACAGCAGTATGCAAAATATATTAGACCAAATAACCCACCGGCTTAGAGTTGCCTTTGATTAAGAATAACCGGAGCATTGATCAACATATTTGATGTACATTTGCTTGATAATTTTGATGATGGACTTAATAAAATGTTGTTTATTGCTTGTTTCATAATGGTTAAGTGTATTATGTTTTATAGTGCAAAACAAGGTAAGCTGCCTTGTTGCTTAAATATGCCATACAGAGCTTAACTTGACAATATCAAAGAGATGTTCTTAAAAGATGTAGATGTAGTGGTGCAGCAGGAGAAAAGACTCCAGGATTCACTTCCCTCTTGATGCAGTGCATCTGTGGCAGCACACCTGCATCGTCTGACAGTGTAGATGCAAAGGCCTACCATACATAGACATATGAAAATCTCAAAGATCGCTTGGGAAAATCCTAGTTCTGACCCTCGCCAGGAAAACATCAGCTTATATGCTTTGTAGAGAAACACTTGATGTCGTAACTGCTTTCACATGAAAACAAGATCTATCAATGTTCGAACATTGCAGTCATGATCTATTTTAGAGAAAATATCACAAACCATGTGACTGTTTACGTCCTCTATAGCACTTATCCTTGCAGGATCACAGAGGGCCGGTGCCTTTCTCCAGCGGTCATTAGACAAGACGCGGGGTTTGATCAGGATAGGCTACCAGTCCATTAATGAGCAACATATTAAACATAACACAAATAACCATCCACAGACACACACATACATATCTGAAAACAATTTAGAGAGACCAATTAACCTGACAGTCATGTTTTTGAAATGTGGGAACCCAGAAAGAACCCAAGCACGTGCAGGGATACCATGAAGACTCAAATCAGAAAGACCCCAGGCCGGGATTCGAACCCAGGACCTTCTTGCTCCAAGGCAACAATGCTAACAACAGCAGCCCTGTGCAGCAAGTAATTTGAATGCAGCGAATACATTCAAATTGCCTTTGAGTCCCAATCCCAACCCAGTGCTCCTGATGTCTTTTCACTCACTGCCTGTACAGAAACTCAATGAACAGAATACAAGTTACAGATGAAACAAAATTCAACACCAACCCGCTCTCCAGGTGGGCCTGGAGGTCCGTCGCTGCCTGAGGTGCCCTGTGGAGAAAGGAAATCCACAGAGAAAGGGGATGAACTTTCTCAGAACTGACAGACTATAAAATATGAATAATATCGTATTGAAGCAGTGATACTCAGGTTACAAACTGATCCGCATGCATGCGTATGCTTAACAACGTTAAAAGACTGTGATTAACAACAGATACATCAGGCAGTAGATAAATGTTCGCAGTGAAAATACAATTTATTGATTTGTTGTTCGTACTTGTTTAGCATCAAAACCATGGAAGCTGTTGAAAGTCTGCCTGTGTTCTTACCTTTGCGCCTGGCTTTCCTGTCGGTCCTCTCGCTCCCCGTCCCCCACGCGGACCCTGTATTCGTTGTAAATTTATGATTAGGTGAAAACGAGGCAGTAAAGGCATGAAGACCAGGAGCGAGTGCCTTTGCTATTTTTACAATCTCTCAACAACTTGCCACCAGGGGCACACGTCCTGAAAACACACACTCAGAACTTGTACACAGCTAAACAATGCTGATACTTTGATATTTATCCTATAAATAATATATGTAAAGGGCTTTTGCTCAATTATCAGACAAATGAGATGCTTACTGTCGGTCCACGCTGCCCTCGAGGGCCTGACTTGCCAGCGGTTCCCTGAAAATAAAATACAAAATCAACAAAATCCTACACTGTAACATCAACAAGTTTTTTTTGTTTGTTTTTTTTTTTTTTCTGAAGTTTTCTCTTCAGAAGTTTAAGCAGAGCAAGCTCTGTGTTTTAGATTACAGAATACACTTTAACACCAGACAGGGACAGCTGCTACGGGAGTCTTTGTCGCAGATTAAATAGAATCATCTAGGAATCTTTGGACAAAAAATAAATAATCAAAGTGCTGTGATAAGCGGTTACCCAGAGGCACTTGACAGCTTGAACTACCTGTCAGCTCAAGCGTTCTGAGGCCACGCGTGTCTGCCTCTCTGTGTGCGAGGGAACCCAGATGAGCTTGTCTTGTCGATAACAACCTCAATCCTTCAACATTTCTCACTGTCATCCCTTCAACTGTAACCCTTTTTCGCCGGGGTGACTCAACAGCTTTCTTTAAACAGCAGAATAAAGTTGTCACTCCACCCCTCAAAAGTTTCATCTCCACTGCAAACTTTCACCAGGTCCTTCCTGGAGCCCTTCCACACATATAAGGTTCAACATTTCCACAATTATCTTCCTTATTTAAGCGATTAATAGAGTTCCTGGCCATTAAAATTTCAAATTACATGCTGTTACAATTTCTTTTCTGGAGTTTTTTGATCACTTTCGACATTTTATGGAGTAAAGTGTGATAAAGGGCAATTTCATTTCTTTTTTGCTATCTGAACTGAAACTAATTAGTTCTATTTTTTAAAAAACTAATTAGTTCTATTTCAAAATCGATGACTCTAAGGATTTGTAAATATGAAACTGAGTATACCACACAAAATTTAGATCACAAAAATCTAGTTGTGATGTGGCAATGCAAGGAAATAGGAACCCAAAAGTTTTGGGTACGACTCTGACTGCAAGAAATTTGACAAAAACCTTGCATAGTCCATTGTTCATTGATCTTTAATTAATGCACAATGAGCAGGATGGCAAGCAGGATGCTAGAAAAATAACCTATTAGAGAAGTGCAGCAAAGAGAAAGTTCCCACAATAACCACTGGACATCATCTCTATCCACAGATACTGTTTGGGGGGCATACCTGGAAAAAAAAAAAAAAAAAAAAAAAACCTTTGTTCTATCTTCTTAAAAGTGGAGATTGGTAAATTCTACTGAGACTGTAGCTTTGTGGAAGCAAACATTCACAGCTTCTTTGATGTAAAACAAAGGAGGAATACGTAAAAAATGCTGCAAGCCCACTAGTAAGTAGTCCAGGACCTGTGATGCCATGAGCCTGATTTCTTTCCCAAAGACCTTGGGAACATGGTCAGAGTGCATGGTTTCATGACTCTTTGAAATGCCACAAGATTATAAATACGAATCTTGTGGACTCATTCAATAAAATAAACACGGGTTATCACTCTAAATCAACCCGAAAAGTGGTTAACCAGACCCAGAATCAACCTTTTTCCACGGTCGTCTCAGTCTCCAGAAATGATTCTCACAGAAAACCGTTTGGATTAGCTAAAAACAGCAGAACACACTTTTGGACCCTGGAAGCTTTATGATCTAAAGGGAGCATCTATAGTTATTTTAAAGTTTTTATCAGTGGTAGACGAAGTTGTACATTATTTATCTCTGGAAGACCCCTGTTGACTCTGTGTCTCCATATTCAGAGAACCTAAACCCAGATTGAAACAGCTTAATGCTACTGATGGAGTTCTGCTTACCCTTGCTCCTTTTTCACCGTTTGCTCCAGGGAATCCATTGAAGCCATTCGAGCCCTGAAATTTAAGACGAGAAAAAATTATGATGAATTTTAGAAATAAGAAATTTTGCTGAGTTGTTCATGTTCAAAGAATTCCTCACAAGAAGGCGATAAAAGAGAAACACAGGAGATGCCTGCAAAGCTAGACAGGTTGGTGCTTTTTTTTTTTCATAAAAAACAGAGCTCTTTCTTTTTGAGATTTTTTTTTGGAAGTAGTAAATAGGGTGGAGAAATGGGGGAAACATGGAGCAAATGGCCTGAGACCGGGAATCAAAACCAAGACAACCATGTTGAGGACGACGGCTTCTGCACATGGTGAGCATGATCTACCAACTGGCCCAAAAACCAAGCTCTTTCAAAGGTGACAAAAAGAAACAGTCACAGGTTAGATTGTTAGGATGAATGAGAGGCATAAGGTAAAGAGAAGAAAAGAGACGGTGGGTGCAAATAGAGACAAAGTAAAGGAAACCAGTAGATCCACTTTGATAACTATCAGCAATTTAGTGACTGAGCTTTTTACAGGCTGTGCTCCCTGATAGTGGTAATGGTGCTGGTCAAACAAATACTTGGCGAGTAATTACTGTTTGCCTAATAACGAGAGAACCAAGCAGGTCATGAATATAACCTCACTTTATGCTGAATTAGGCAGCATAACCAATCTAGACTAAATATGCCTTTGCCTCGGCTGAAACCCAAGGTCATATGGTGTGATTTGGGTCCAAAAAAAATAAATAAATTCAGGCAGCATTCATAGTGCTCATTATCCTTCATGTGCATATGCGTATTAAGCATAATACTGTGCAGAATAGGCAAGGACACAACAACTGAGTTACAAGGACAGAGTTGTAGGAGGTAACACAGCAGAAAAAAAACAAACAAATCTGTTGTGCGAAATTTATTTTCCACAGCGTTGCAGTTACAGTAAACTGAAAAGAGGAGTGCCACTGGACGGGCACGACTTGCAAAGCGGAGATAAGACAGTCCGCTGAAGCTTTTGCAAATGGTATCCACAATTAACGATGTGGAAAAGCTGTTAGCAGAGAGCGATGGGCTGTAGCAGCCAAAAACACAGACAGTGGAGGAATTCCAGAGCGAGCTGATTGAGGGCAGATAAAGGCTGATGCCCGGCCAAGACTGTGACCCTGAAGCTACTCATGAGGACAATGTGACATTTCATAACAGAGATGGTACTTTATGATGTAAATGTGGAGGGACCCCCCCCCCCCCCCCCCACTGTTTTCCTCCCCATTACAAAATTATTAAATAAAAAATTTTAC